TTCCACGCCCAGTAGTTCTCCACTTTATTATAAAATTTTGTTAGACCTGTGGTGATAAGTTGACTTTTTGCGAGAAACTTAGCCAGGTCAGCTGTAGCAGAAGGTTTTCTGCGATCATCTTGACTGTAAGATTGATCTGTTTTATTATCTCTATTGGTGTTAGGGCTATGGCGGTAACCAAATCTTGCACCACTACTGGGAAATGACAGATCATGGTAAATTGTGGTGGGCTGCTTGTATCTATGAAGAGGCAGTGAAAATCCCTTGAACTGCTCTGGTGGGGAAGAGTTGATCTCTTCTTCCTCTTTTTGGCAAACTGTTCACTCAGACTAACCTTTGCAGTTTTCTGTGAAATTTCAGTGGCTAGGTCGGGCTGTCTTTGCTGACGGGGAGAAACTTTGGGTTCTCCAATTAAGTCATCATTGTCGCCTTCGAGTGCTGCCTCTAAAGGGGCAGTCTCAGCGAAGGCTGCTTCTTTTTCTTTTTCTTCTTGCAGTGCCTCTAACAGTGCATCAATCCTTGCTCTTTGCACTTTTATTTCATTTTTTTGTCTGTGAGAAAGCTGCTCTGGCCTCTGCTGCCTTGGCCTTTGGACGTCCCTGTGCCAAAACCATACTTGCATTTTGAGCTGGAGGATGATCGTGATGAACGAGAACACACAGATCGAACCTCTAAATCTTCCATTTCTTTCTCATAGTGAACTGCTGCCTGGATTGTTTCTTCCATGTTAATTGCAGACTGGAGAAGTTTGGACTTCCTTATTTGCAGAAGCGATGAGAAGATATCCTTTCACTATACTGGCCTTCCTCTTCGTGCTTGAAGCAGTTTATCCAGCTAGCCAAACAATCAAACATACTCAGAGCAGACTCTCAGACCGAAAGGTTGCGTTGTCCTTTAAGGGACACTTCACCCATTGAAACATTAATCTGTATTGACATTGGGTCATATATGTAGTAGAAATGTGTAATAAATTTTGAAGTTGGTGCCTTCTTGGCCGAGAAAAGGCAGAAAGTTTTTTTTTGGCTCATGTGGATGAAAGACACCAAATCTGCATTTATACTCTGTGTCACTAGGCGGCAGTATAATGTTAAGTGGCATAGAAACAGTCTTACTGCCAATTCACACATACTCCGTGTGCGCCGCGGTCCGTCAGCGCTGCGCACTATGTTGTACCGTATTTTCCGCACTATAAGGCGCACCGGATTATAAGGCGCACCTTCAATGAATGGCCTATTTTAGAACTGTTTTCATATATAGGGCGCACTGGATTATAAGGCGCATAGAATAGAACGTGTTTACAACTGAACAAGGCTGGGAGATATTGTGAATATATAAATATAAATACGTATAAAACGTAACGTATAAAACTACAAAAACAAAAGTACATAAGACGATTTCCCCAAATAATAAATTATTTCTTTGACGTTTCTCTTAACTCTCAAAACGTAGTTTTATACGTAGTGCATTCACAATAACTCAACGTTGTTCAAACGTTAATGTGCATATTCACAATATCTCCCAGCCTTGTTCAGTTGTAAACACGTAAAAGAAACACAGTCTGATACCGCTAATTCAAACGTTAGTGCAGGGGTGCCCAAACAGTCGATAGCGATCGACAGGTAGATCGCTGACTGATTCTCAGTCGATCACGAGATGTTTTGTCAATATAAAATACAATTGTAAAATAGAAAAGTGATTTCAATTTCATCTCATTGCACTGTTTCCCACACACGATACCTGTGTGGGGAGCCCAAGTATACTTCCGACCTGTGTGTATTTAATTTTTAATTTATTCATGAAATTGCTGCGTGCATGAGAGAGCGAGCGGCGGAGATAGAGAGAGAGAGAGAGCGCGCGCAAGAGAGAGTGCAGGCATGCGCAATGACGTGCAGGTAAAACCGGGGGGGTAAATGTTTTACCAAAAAGTCATATATAGAAACTATGCTACGAGTATTAAGCGCATTTGATGAAGCTGCAGCTACTTTTCTCTGCTCCTCTCTGCTGTCATGACTGTGAGCATCGCGGGGGACGAGACACACCAACAAACAGCGCAAACGCACACGCACACGCACACGCACACGCACACGCACACGCACACACACACACACACACACACACACACACTTGCACTGGAGCGCCAGCCACCATGCGAACCTTTTTACTTTTTACTTTTAGTGCTACAGCACACAGTTGATCCGTGATCCGTACGGACCGAGGTGGGAACACACGTGACCCGGTCAAACAGTCGGTTGGACTTTACTCCGTTCACTCTCACCGTGTCTGCAGCTAATTTAACAAAAGCAAAATCATCTCACAGCAGCCTGCTGTAGTCTGTAGTCTGCATTATTTTTTACAGAACTCTCATTTATTATTTTCTGCTTGTTGTGTGAGTATTAAATGCATTTGTAGGCTGTTGGTAAAGGCTATGGCTCACTATGTGGACTGGTAGATCTCGGCAGACTGGTAACTTTAAAAGTAGATCTTGGTTCAAAAAAGGTTGGGCACCCCTGCGTTAGTGCATAACTCAACATTGTTCAGTTACGTATAACACGTAAAGCTCACTTTTTCAGTTCATTCCCCGTCCACGAATCCCTCGAATTCTTCTTCTTCAGTGTCCGAATTGAACAGTTGGGCGAGTACGGCATCCAACATGCCCGGCTCCCTCTCGTCATTATCCGAGTCAGTGTCGCTGAGCGCCGTGTACAACCAGTATGGATCAACCAATTAACCAATTGATCCATATATAAGGCGCTCCGGATTATAAGGCGCACTGTCGTTTTTTGAGAAAATTAAAGGCTTTTAAGTGCGCCTTATAGTGCGGAAAATACGGTACTTAGCTTCCACTCTAGTCAATCATTGTGTTCACACAGGGCGCGCTGCGGTCCGTCTCCGGCGCGTGCCACCGACGGCACTACACTATGCTCCGTTTCAAATACGCAGCGAGTATTTTCGCCGGAGTGCGCTGGAGGCACGGGTCAAGCTGGACAGAATATGACAGCCCGGACTGGAAGTCAGACAAGGAAACACACAGAGCATCCGGCTCAAAATAAAACACAATATACAGACTCGCGATCGTATTGTTCATCACTTTATCAACATTACATCAAAAGAGGTACCGAATTAACAACAATGCATCCTCAGAAAGACAAAGCAACATGTTTGCATGTTTTTCTCTTTATTCCCACGGGATCTTGTAGTTCTCCTTTGATGTTTCATGGGTGCGCGCCGCTGCGCTGATGTCCCAGACACGGATCCAGTGTGAGTGGGCGCGAGCATCCGACGGAGCAAAACCGTGGCGCTGACGGGCCGCGGCGCTCACAGAGTATGTGTGTATGTTCAAGATATGTAACCAAATCTTGCACCACTACTGGGAAATGACAGATCATGGTAAATTGTGGTGGGCTGCTTGTATCTATGAAGAGGCAGTGAAAATCCCTTGAACTGCTCTGGTGGGGAAGAGTTGATCTCTTCTTCCTCTTTTTGGCAAACTGTTCACTCAGACTAACCTTTGCAGTTTTCTGTGAAATTTCAGTGGCTAGGTCGGGCTGTCTTTGCTGACGGGGAGAAACTTTGGGTTCTCCAATTAAGTCATCATTGTCGCCTTCGAGTGCTGCCTCTAAAGGGGCAGTCTCAGCGAAGGCTGCTTCTTTTTCTTTTTCTTCTTGCAGTGCCTCTAACAGTGCATCAATCCTTGCTCTTTGCACTTTTATTTCATTTTTTTGTCTGTGAGAAAGCTGCTCTGGCCTCTGCTGCCTTGGCCTTTGGACGTCCCTGTGCCAAAACCATACTTGCATTTTGAGCTGGAGGATGATCGTGATGAACGAGAACACACAGATCGAACCTCTAAATCTTCCATTTCTTTCTCATAGTGAACTGCTGCCTGGATTGTTTCTTCCATGTTAATTGCAGACTGGAGAAGTTTGGACTTCCTTATTTGCAGAAGCGATGAGAAGATATCCTTTCACTATACTGGCCTTCCTCTTCGTGCTTGAAGCAGTTTATCCAGCTAGCCAAACAATCAAACATACTCAGAGCAGACTCAAAATAAAACACAATATACAGACTCGCGATCGTATTGTTCATCACTTTATCAACATTACATCAAAAGAGGTACCGAATTAACAACAATGCATCCTCAGAAAGACAAAGCAACATGTTTGCATGTTTTTCTCTTTATTCCCACGGGATCTTGTAGTTCTCCTTTGATGTTTCATGGGTGCGCGCCGCTGCGCTGATGTCCCAGACACGGATCCAGTGTGAGTGGGCGCGAGCATCCGACGGAGCAAAACCGTGGCGCTGACGGGCCGCGGCGCTCACAGAGTATGTGTGAATTGCAGGTCATGGTGTAGAAAGGCCATGACATTAACATTTATGTTTGTGAAAATGTTCTTAGCAGGTTCGTCACCTAAAGCCACAACACCTTTGACCACCACAACAACAACAGTGTCACCCACAACTACTAGTAACAGTATGTTATTTTAGAAATAAGAGACGACATAACAGCCCTCTGGTTGAAATTTACATTAAAGTGTTCATCAATATTAGGTTCATTATTGTGTGTGTGTGTGTGTGTGTGTGTGTGTGTGTGTTTTAATTTCACCACTGTCAGTGGAAATACAGCCATTGTTCAGAACTGGAACTTCTTATTTTGTTTCATTCAATAAATAGATATCTAAATCTAAATATTACAACACTCATTCAAACTGCACTTGGCTGAAGTATTTTTAACATCAATAGAGTGTGGCTTTTTTTCAGCAGACAATCACTTTAGATTCATTTGTTTTTAAAGCAATTACAATTACTTACTGTACTTAATGCTAGGACCCAACTGATATAGGACCTTTGGGGCCGATACCGATATCGACATTGGGGAGAAAAAAAATCTGAAACAGGGCGGTGCTGATAGCCTAGCAGTTATTTCAACTGATTTCTTTTGTCCTCAAATTGTCTCTGCAGCTCTTCCTGTTGTGAATGAATACCTGATTTCTGTTGAGTTGAACATGTCAGATGTCACAGAAGTATATCAGCTGAGGACTATTCTGAGAAACATCAGCTACCCTCTCAGCATCAATGAGCAAATACAAATCTCTGATGTCAACATTTCTACAGGTAGAGCTAATAGCTTCTGTTATTTGATTTATTTGATGATAAGCATTATACACATGTGAAGGACATTTTTACACTACATCATGATCCTGAAGAATGAGACTGGAGAATGACACTTTGACAATGTGTTGATCTCCAGTTTGCTCTGCAAGCAGCTATGGTATTCAGTGCAGATGTGAGGATGGGCATCGTTGGTCATGTGACCAGTGTGTGCTGTATGGATCATGTGACAACATCACTGATAACACATGTGGATGCATCAATGCCATTCCCCCTGATGGAAGATATTGCAAGTCTGTTGATCTACACAGTAAGCTATTTGATCATGATGAGGAAATCATCAGACAGAGATGTTTTTCTTTCAAACCTGTTCTCTTATAGCAGTTCATGTACTTTACCTTCTTTTCCCCCTGACAGGCTTCACATGGTGTCCTAATGCAACATCCTCTCCATCACCTACAAGTAGGACTGAGACTAAGGCTGTGTCTGAAATCACACACTACTTACTTTACAGCGCACTGTACTGGGAATTTGTCACTGTAGTGGCTTCCTAGAATGTATTAATATTTTCTTTATCATTCATTTTAACATATGTTCATAAAAAATGTTCTTTGCAGATTCAACGCCGAGTGCTTCAACACATCTGAACACAACAGTGCTGACCATGTCGCCAACAATTAATGGTACCAGGATTTTTCTTGATGTAGTTTGTTTATTCCAGACTCATCATCACTTATTATGACAGATGTGAACTCATCTTTAGTGAAACTGTGACAACACACTAAATCACAAAATCAGTTGAGGAATTAACAAATAATTTTGACTGCTCAACAACCACAAATAACACAGAGTCTATAGCATCATCCGAATCCTTTTGTTTAAAAGAGGTAACTGAAAAAAATGTACAGAAGTAATCAAGAAACTATCAAATCCTAAGGCTAAAGTCATTTATAATTTGGATGCTCAATTCATTAAAAAAATATAGCTCTATACTGATTACACCTCTGACTCATCTTAGTAATTCATCAATTAGAACTTGTACATTTCCAAATAACTTGAAAAAGGCAGTCATGACACCAATCTTTAAAACATGTGACTGTGATTTGGTTAGCAACTACCGCCCTATCTGTATTCTCCCTGTAATGTCGAAGATTTTCCATTTGATTTCATTTCAAGTCTTTATTTATTCTCGAAAGGACACTGAGGTTTCCCTCATTTCCAATTCCGTTGAGATTACAAGCACAGTAAAACCAGCAAAAAACACAACAAACACTCAGAATTAGTGACAAAAACCACTGAGATCATTTAAAACAGTTACAATTTGACACAAAGTGGTTCAAAATCAAATTCCTGAACTCTGGAAGAGAGGGAAGAACTCCAATCTTTAGAGTTTGCTAGAGGGCGTTCCTCGAGTTTTGATCAACAAAAGAGAATGCCGATTTACCGAGTTCAGTAAAAGCTCGAGGGACTTTAAGAACGAGCCAATCAGAAGAACGGGTCATGTAGGCGCCCGTATTCCACTCCAACAGGTCTGTGATGTAAGGTGGAAGTTTTCCAATAGGAGCCTTAAAGATATATAAAAACCAGTGTTTGTTACCGACCCTCTCATACAGATCACAGTGATGAGTGTCAAATCGATCACAGTTATAAACCTGAGGGCGGAGTGATATACGGTGTCCAGAGGCTTCAGAGTTGAAGCTGCATGTCTATAAATGACATCGCCGTAATCCATCACTGACAAGAACACAGCTTCAATGATTCTTTTTCTGCACGATAATGGAAAACTTGATTTGTTTCTGTACAAAAAGAAAACTTTCTCTCGCAACTTGGAGACAAGAGTTTTTACATGGAACTTAAAAGTGAGTTCCTCATCGAGCCACATGCCAAGATATTTATACTCATTTACTCTCTCGATGTCTGAGCCATTTAAAGAAGATATGCGTACACTCTCGTAATCAATATTTTTGGCTCTCGAGAATAGCATAAATTTTGTTTTTATTAAGTAGCAGTTTTTGGCTAATGAGATATTCTTGAACAGAGTTAAAAGGAAGTTGAAAGTTCTTGATAGCTAACTGTACAGAATCTGCAGTACAATACAAAATAGTGTCGTCTGCATAGAAATGGGAATGACAACCATTCAAAGAAGAAACAATGTCATTAACATAAACAGTGAAGAGCATGGGTCCCAGGACTGAACCTTGTGGGACACCTCTATTAATGAACAAAAATTCAGATTTAACATAAACTAGCTTAACACACTTGACGCCTTTCAAACAAATAATCCTGAAACCAGGCACATGTACTTCTATCCAACCCAATAGCATCTAATTTCTTTAAAAGAAGGTGATGATCGACTGTATCAAAAGCTTTTGACAGATCTATAAAAAGAGGTACTTGAAAAGTTTGTGGCAGAACAGGTTTTTGACAGTCCGGAGACAAATCAACTCTTTCATCCTCAACAATTTGGTTTCAGACAAAAATATTCAACAGAAACTGCAAATAGTTTGGTTATGTTGTTGGAGCAGTGTTTCTTGACTTAAAGAAGGCATTTGACACTTTCAACCATGACATTCTTCTGTCTAAGTTACCATCTTTCAATTTCTTGAAAAAATCAATTGAGAGGTTTGAGCAAAACAATCAAGAACAACCTGAAGTGCTTTAAATTAATAAGACACTACATACCAACTCAAGCAGCACAGGTGCTCATGCATTCAATGATCTTCTCTCATTTCTCAGACTGTATGGCAGTTTGGTCACAAGCGTCACCCTCTACAATCAGAAACCTATCATCACTATACAACCAGGCCCTGAAAATAATGGACAAAAAACCTGTCCTGTGGCATCACTGTCACATACTGAAAAAACACAATCTACTCAGTTTTGAGAGCTTTATGCACTTATGTTTCCTTAAACTTGTTTTTAAATGTATCAACAATCTGGCTCCTGAACCTTTCTCCAGATATGTTCAAAGACAGGACGGAAACAGGGTAACGAGAAGCACTGTGAATGAAAACTGTAGCATACAACAGTGTAGATCTACATTTGGTCAATCAGCCTTCTCAGTCAAAGGCGGTAAACTCTGGAACACATTACCTCTTGAAATAAAATGAATCTCAGACTTAAATGGTATACAAAAAAGGTGAAATGCTGGCTAAAAGCAAACCAGAGCTGTACCCACTTTTAAATAGTATCTTAAAACTGTATTTTAAACTGATTTATAGCATTTGTATTGTTGTACATGTATTTTGATATATCCTCATATAGTGTTATGCTGTTTTATGTAATCGAATGTTGTACATTTTAATCTGTTTGTTTACAAAAAGGCCCAACTGGGGACACGAGTTGGAAATGAACAGTAGCTGTATACACTTTATGCATCACATCAGTTTCATGCTTTGTATTGAAACTATGTGAAATTGAACTTCCCCTTAAATAAATAAATTCACTTTAACATAGAAGAATCATTCATACATGTACATTCTTTCATTATCCAAATTAACCTCAATGTGTTTCTATACTTTATCACTAAACAGGTTTCAGTCTCAGTATGATGTAGAAGATGATAGTACATTTACATTTCCAGATTCAACAAACAATGCAAAACAGATGTGCACACAAGATGTGCAGAGACAACATTTAAAACAGCCAGGTGAAGAGGGTAAAAATATTCGTTAATAGTCTTTAAATAAGCAACATTAAGAAAATGAACTACATTTTCTGCACTTGACTTAATTTCTCTGTCAAGGACAACTGACAAGGTCATATAATGACCATTTCAAGATGAAAGTCTTTTGGCTGTCATTTAAATAACCAACATGTTTTTATTAAAATCATGGAACAAACTCCTGCAGTGATATTTCCTGAAACTTTTCACTAAGTCATCGTAGCATTAATCATTCCAGTTTCTATTGTTAGCATGAACATTTATGTTTGTGAAAATGTTCTAAGCAGGTTCGTCACCTACAGCCACCACACCTTTGACCATCACCACACAGACAGCGTCACCCACAACTACTAGAAACGGTATGTTATTTTAGAAATAAGAGACGAAGTAACAGCCCTCTGGTTGAAATTTACATGAAAGTGTTCATTTGTTTGTGTGTGTGTGTGTTTGTGTGTTTTAATTTCACCACTAAGTCACTGTCAGTGTGAAAATTAAAACAATGTATTTGTCATTCCAGATTCAACTGCAGTTGTTACAACAGTTGTGCACACAACTTCTACACCAATGACTGAAACAGGCAAGTCATACCTGTAAATGTATTTCTTAAAAGTATAAAAACATGTAAACACTTAGGAAATACAGCCATTGTTCAGAACTGGAACTTCTTATTTTGTTTCATTCAATAAATAGATATCTAAATCTAAATATTACAACACTCATTCAAACTGCACTTGGCTGAAGTATTTTTAACATCAATAGAGTGTGGCTTTTTTTCAGCAGACAATCACTTTAGATTCATTTGTTTTTAAAGCAATTACAATTACTTACTGTACTTAATGCTAGGACCCAACCGATATAGGACCTTTGGGGCCGATACTGATATCGACATTGGGGAGAAAACAATTTCGAAACAGGGCGGTGCTGATAGCCTAGCAGTTATTTCAACTGATTTCTTTTGTCCTCAAATTGTCTCTGCAGCTCTTCCTGTTGTGAATGAATACCTGATTTCTGTTGAGTTGAACATGTCAGATGTCACAGAAGTATATCAGCTGAGGACTATTCTGAGAAACATCAGCTACCCTCTCAGCATCAATGAGCAAATACAAATCTCTGATGTCAACATTTCTACAGGTAGAGCTAATAGCTTCTGTTATTTGATTTATTTGATGATAAGCATCATACACATGTGAAGGACATTTTTACACTACATCATGATCCTGGAGAATGAAACTTTGACAATGTGTTGATCTCCAGTTTGCTCTGCAAGCAGCTATGGTATTCAGTGCAGATGTGAGGATGGGCATCGTTGGTCATGTGACCAGTGTGTGCTGTATGGATCATGTGACAACATCACTGATAACACATGTGGATGCATCAATGCCATTCCCCCTGATGGAAGATATTGCAAGTCTGTTGATCTACACAGTAAGCTATTTGATCATGATGAGGAAATCATCAGACAGAGATGTTTTTCTTTCAAACCTGTTCTCTTATAGCAGTTCATGTACTTTACCTTCTTTTCCCCCTGACAGGCTTCACATGGTGTCCTAATGCAACATCCTCTCCATCACCTACAAGTAGGACTGAGACTAAGGCTGTGTCTGAAATCACACACTACTTACTTTACAGCGCACTGTACTGGGAATTTGTCACTGTAGTGGCTTCCTAGAATGTATTAATATTTTCTTTATCATTCATTTTAACATATGTTCATAAAAAATGTTCTTTGCAGATTCAACGCCGAGTGCTTCAACACATCTGAACACAACAGTGCTGACCATGTCGCCAACAATTAATGGTACCAGGATTTTTCTTGATGTAGTTTGTTTATTCCAGACTCATCATCACTTATTATGACAGATGTGAACTCATCTTTAGTGAAACTGTGACAACACACTAAATCACAAAATCAGTTGAGGAATTAACAAATAATTTTGACTGCTCAACAACCACAAATAACACAGAGTCTATAGCATCATCCGAATCCTTTTGTTTAAAAGAGGTAACTGAAAAAAATGTACAGAAGTAATCAAGAAACTGTCAAATCCTAAGGCTAAAGTCATTTATAATTTGGATGCTCAATTCATTAAAAAAATATAGCTCTATACTGATTACACCTCTGACTCATCTTAGTAATTCATCAATTAGAACTTGTACATTTCCAAATAACTTGAAAAAGGCAGTCATGACACCAATCTTTAAAACATGTGACTGTGATTTGGTTAGCAACTACCGCCCTATCTGTATTCTCCCTGTAATGTCGAAGATTTTCCATTTGATTTCATTTCAAGTCTTTATTTATTCTCGAAAGGACACATTTAAATAACCAACATGTTTTTATTAAAATCATGGAACAAACTCCTGCAGTGATATTTCCTGAAACTTTTCACTAAGTCATCGTAGCATTAATCATTCCAGTTTCTATTGTTAGCATGAACATTTATGTTTGTGAAAATGTTCTAAGCAGGTTCGTCACCTACAGCCACCACACCTTTGACCATCACCACACAGACAGCGTCACCCACAACTACTAGAAACGGTATGTTATTTTAGAAATAAGAGACGAAGTAACAGCCCTCTGGTTGAAATTTACATGAAAGTGTTCATTTGTTTGTGTGTGTGTGTGTGTGTGTGTGTGTGTGTGTGTGTGTGTGTGTGTGTTTTAATTTCACCACTAAGTCACTGTCAGTGTGAAAATTAAAACAATGTATTTGTCATTCCAGATTCAACTGCAGTTGTTACAACAGTTGTGCACACAACTTCTACACCAATGACTGAAACAGGCAAGTCATACCTGTAAATGTATTTCTTAAAAGTATAAAAACATGTAAACACTTAGGAAATACAGCCATTGTTCAGAACTGGAACTTCTTATTTTGTTTCATTCAATAAATAGATATTAAATCTAAATATTACAACACTCATTCAAACTGCACTTGGCTGAAGTATTTTTAACATCAATAGAGTGTGGCTTTTTTTCAGCAGACAATCACTTTAGATTCATTTGTTTTTAAAGCAATTACAATTACTTACTGTACTTAATGCTAGGACCCAACCGATATAGGACCTTTGGGGCCGATACTGATATCGACATTGGGGAGAAAACAATTTCGAAACAGGGCGGTGCTGATAGCCTAGCAGTTATTTCAACTGATTTCTTTTGTCCTCAAATTGTCTCTGCAGCTCTTCCTGTTGTGAATGAATACCTGATTTCTGTTGAGTTGAACATGTCAGATGTCACAGAAGTATATCAGCTGAGGACTATTCTGAGAAACATCAGCTACCCTCTCAGCATCAATGAGCAAATACAAATCTCTGATGTCAACATTTCTACAGGTAGAGCTAATAGCTTCTGTTATTTGATTTATTTGATGATAAGCATCATACACATGTGAAGGACATTTTTACACTACATCATGATCCTAAAGAATGACACTAGAGAATGACACTTTGACAATGTGTTGATCTCCAGTTTGCTCTGCAAGCAGCTATGGTATTCAGTGCAGATGTGAGGATGGGCATCGTTGGTCATGTGACCAGTGTGTGCTGTATGGATCATGTGACAGCATCACCGATAACACATGTGGATGCATCAATGCCATTCCCCCTGATGGAAGATATTGCAAGTCTGTTGATCTACACAGTAAGCTATTTGATCATGATGAGGAAATCATCAGACAGAGATGTTTTTCTTTCAAACCTGTTCTCTTATAGCAGTTCATGTACTTTACCTTCTTTTCCCCCTAACAGGCTTCACATGGTGTCCTAATGCAACATCCTCTCCATCACCTACAAGTAGGACTGAGACTAAGGGCGCGGTCACACTGGTCATCTGTACCGTGCTGTACCCAATGATTGCCCCCCTGCTGCGCCATTTCCACGCTGGCCAGCACGGCCCGCGGTCACACTACACAAGACTATCCGTGCCTAAGCACGATTACCTCTTGTACATAACGTCGTAATACAACACATGCACGCTTTATGTTATTATGAAGCATGCTCAATTTACAAACAGGCGGACGAGAGAGAGAGAGAGAGACGCGCAGTCGAATCCGCGTCTGCACATCAGAGAAAAACAGAGAGCATGACAGCTACTTTACTGATGTTACAGCTTATTTTAAGCCATTTTAATCAGACACAGCCATGAATAAATTAACAAATAAAATAGACGTGCGGCCGAGTCAGTGCGCGAGTCCGTGTGGACGCATACCTCTCCGAAAGTGTGCCAAAGCAAAGGAAGTGTACCGTGCCTGAGCACGATACGGAGCGGTCACACTGGCCAAACGAACTGGACTTTAGCGTTGAAGCGTGCTTGGGCACGGTACGGCTGGCCAGTGTGACCGTGCCCTAAGGCTGTGTCTGAAATCACACACTACTTACTTTACAGCACACTGTACTGGAAATTTGTAGTGTCTTCCTAGAATGTATTATTATTTTCTTGATCATTAATTTCAACATATGTTGATAAAAATGTTTTTTTGCAGATTCAACGCCGAGTGCTTCAACACATCTGAACACAACAGTGCTGACCATGTCACCAACAATTAATGGTACCAGGATTTTTTCTTGATGTAGTTTGTTTATTCCAGACTCATCATCACTTATTATGACAGATGTGAACTCATCTGTAGTGAAACTGTGACAACACACTAAATCACAAAATCAGTTGAGGAATTAACAAATAATTTTGACTGATCAACAACCACAAATAACACAGAGTCTATAGCATCATCCGAATCCTTTTGTTTAAAAGAGGTAACTGAAAAAAATGTACAGAAGTAATCAAGAAACTATCAAATCCTAAGGCTAAAGTCGTTTATAACTTGGATGCTTCAATTCATTAAAAAAATATAGCTCTATGCTGATTACACCTCTGACTCATCTTATTAATTTATTAATTAGAACTTGTACATTTCCAAATAACTTGAAAAAGACAGTTCTGAGGAAAAAAGAAAAATGTTGACTGCATCCCAATTGCACTGTATGTTTTGAACTTGCTTTAATAAAAATATGTTGGAAAAAAAAAAAAAAAAGGCAGTCATGACACCAATCTTTAAAACATGTGACTGTGATTTGGTTAGCAACTACCGCCCTATCTGTATTCTCCCTGTAATGTCGAAGATTTTCCATTTGATTTCATTTCAAGTCTTTATTTATTCTCGAAAGGACACTGAGGTTTCCCTCATTTCCAATTCCGTTGAGATTACAAGCACAGTAAAACCAGCAAAAAACACAACAAACACTCAGAATTAGTGACAAAAACCACTGAGATCATTTAAAACAGTTACAATTTGACACAAAGTGGTTCAAAATCAAATTCCTGAACTCTGGAAGAGAGGGAAGAACTCCAATCTTTAGAGTTTGCTAGAGGGCGTTCCTCGAGTTTTGATCAACAAAAGAGAATGCCGATTTACCGAGTTCAGTAAAAGCTCGAGGGACTTTAAGAACGAGCCAATCAGAAGAACGGGTCATGTAGGCGCCCGTATTCCACTCCAACAGGTCTGTGATGTAAGGTGGAAGTTTTCCAATAGGAGCCTTAAAGATATATAAAAACCAGTGTTTGTTACCGACCCTCTCATACAGATCACAGTGATGAGTGTCAAATCGATCACAGTTACAAAACCTGAGGGCGGAGTGATATACGGAGTCCAGAGGCTTCAGAGTTGAAGCTGCAGCATGTCTATAAATGACATCGCCGTAATCCATCACTGACAAGAACACAGCTTCAATGATTCTTTTTCTGCACGATAATGGAAAACTTGATTTGTTTCTGTACAAAACGAAAACTTTCTCTCGCAACTTGGAGACAAGAGTTTTTACATGGAACCTTAAAAGTGAGTTCTTCATCGAGCCACATGCCAAGATAGAAGAAAGTAAGGCCCTGAAAATAATCATTCATACATATACTTTCTTTCATTATCCAAATTTACCTCAATTTGTTTCTATAGTTTATCACTAAACAGGTTTCAGTCTCAGTATGATGTAGAAAATGATCGTACATTTACATTTCCAGATTCAACAAACAATGTCAAAACAGATGTGCACACAAGACGTGCAGAGACAACATTTAAAACAGCCATGTGTAATAGTCTATAAATATACAACATTAAGGAAATTAACTACATTTTCTGCACTTGACTTAATTTCTCTGTCAAGGACAACTGACAAGGTCATATAATGACCATTTCAAGATGAAAGTCTTTTGGCTGTCATTTAAATAAACAATATGTTTTTATTAAAATCATGGGACAAATTCCTGCAGTGATATTTCCTGAAACTTTTTAACTAAGTCATCGTAGCATTAATCATTCCAGTTTCTATTTTTAGCATTAACATTTTTGTTTGTGAAATATGTTCTTAGCAGGTTTGTCATCTACAGCCACAACACCTTTGACCACCACAACACAGACAGTGTCACCAACAACTACTAGTAACGGTATGTTATTTTAGAAATAAGAGACGAAATAACAGCACTCTGGTTGAAATTAACATGAAAGTGTTCATCAATATTAGGTTCATTATTGTGTGTGTGTGTTTGTGTGTGTTTTAATTTCACCACTACGTCACTGTCAGTGGGAAAATTAAAACAACTTATTTGTTATGAGTTGGTCTTTTTTTAGTTTTGTTTTTCAGTGTTTAGTGTTTCTTCTTGTTCTAGTGTGTTTTTAGTGTTTCATGATTTAGTTTGTAGTTGTCCTCTGTGTTTCTTGTATTCCTGCCTGTGTGTTTCCCAGTGTGATTGCCCTGATTGTCCTCACCTGTGTCTTGTTAGTTTCACCTGTGTTTGATGACCCCCCTGTGTCTATTTAGTCTCTGTGTTTCTTCCCTCCTGGGTCAGTTCATTGTATGTTGTATGTGGTGGTATGTCATTCTTTGGTACGTCAGTTTTTTCTCGTGCTCCACTGTGGCTACCTGTTTTTGATCCGTGTGTTTTTTGTTTAATCTTGGGAGTAGTTTTTGTTTGCCTTTTTGTTTATTAAAGACTTTTAGTTCATTCTGCACTTGGGTCCATCTCTACTCGTTGTTCTACACACTGAACCGTAACATTATTTGTCTTTCCAGATTCAACTACAGTTGTTACAACAGTTGTGCAGACGACTTCTACACCAATGACTGAAACAGGTAAGTCATACCTGTAAATGTATTTCTTGAAAGTAGAAAAATATTCAAACACTTAGGAAATACAGTCATTGTTCTAAACTGAAACTTCTTATTTTGTTTCATTCAATAAATGGATATCTAAATCTAATTACAACACGCATTCAAACGGCACTTGGCTGAAGTATTTTCAACATCAGTAGAGTGTGGCTTCTTTTCAGCAGACAATCACTTTAGATTCATTTCATTTTCAAGCAATTACAATTACTTGCTGTACTTAATGCTAGGACCCAACTGATATAGGACCTTTAGGGCCGATACCAATATCGACATTGGGGAGAAAAAAAATCAGAAACAGGGAGGTGCTGATAGCCTAGCAGTTACTTCAACTGATTTCTTTCGTCCTCAAATTATCTCTGCAGGTTCGTCACCTATAGCCACAACACCTTTGACCACCACAACACCAACAGTGTCACCAACAACTAGTAATGGTATGTTACTTTAGAAATAAGGAACGAAATAACAGCCCTCTGGTTGAAATTTACATGCAAGTGTTCATCAGTGTGTGTGTTTCCAGATTCAACCTCTACAGCAACAACTGAAACAGGGAAGTCATACCTACCTATTTCATCTCTGCTGATCTCCAGATAGTAGTGCTTAAAGCACTGAATGACTTACATCAGCAAAGTCACGAGGAATCTAGCAGGAGGTACACCCCCAGTGGATTGGGAGTGGAAACATTCACCCTGTAGTACCTGGAGCATGTGCTCAGCGATGCCCATGAGGCAACGGCACATTTGTTATCCTGTGTGCACCACCTCTGGTTGGAGGCGCCCAGCAAATATATTGCCTACAGGCTGAGCAGACAGGAGGCCCTTGGACACATACATCAGCCGTGCAAACTTGGTGCCGTCCTGATGGTTGATATGAAAGACTGTTTTGTCTGACCTTATGAGCACATACCTTCCTCTCAGGTACGGCAGAAAGTGCTGGAGAGCTAGGTGCAATGCTCACATCTCAAGCACATTGATGTGTTCTGTGCGGTCTCGCCCAGACCACTGTCCCTGAGCTATCCTGTCCTTCCACACTGCATCCCATCCTGAGGGTCAGGTATCTTGCCGGTATAGCCAAGAGCCCATAGGGACGCCCCTGGACTTGTAAGCCATGTCCCTCCATGGGACCAGGGCAAGGAGTCACTGCTGTTGCACGCTGAACTTCCGATGTCTGTGCCACTTGGTATCCAATTGTAAGCTGATCAGCCACCTCTGCAGGTGTCAGAGTGACAGTAAGTCCAACAGAAAAACGGCTGAGACAGATGTTAGCTTGCCCAAGAAACGCAGGAACCTGACAAAGGGCAGTGACCTGACCCTTTGAAAGAGGGGCAGGAGGAGCAGAACAATTAGGGGATGGATGGGGATGTGTCCAATGCCACACCAATTGATGGTCATGATCTGAGAGGGGTTCAGGGTGGCTGTGGCTCAGTTGGTAGAGTCGTCGCCTCTCAACCGGAAGGTCCAGGGTTTGATCCCCAGCTGGGCAACATGTCCGATGTGTCCTTGGGCAAGACACTTAACCCCGAATGGCTCCTGCTGCTTCGGTGGCGGTGTATGAATGGGATTAGTTACTTCTGATGGATGATACTACATCAATACCATCAGTGTGTGAATGGGTGGGTGTGACATGCAGCGTAAAAGCGCTTTGAGTAGTCGGCAGACTAGAAAAGCGCGATATAAGCTCAGGTCCATTTACCATTTCAGGAAACCTTTTTCTAGGTTTACCTTGAGGCCCAGCTGAGCCACGTGGGAAAGAATGCAAGCTGTGTCCTAGACCACCTGTGCACGGGATGGGGCGCAGATCAGTCAGTCGTCCAGATAAGGCAGAATCTTCATGCCCTGAGACTGCAGAGGAACAACGTTGGCGTCATGGGTGAACACTGAGAGCCCAAATGGAAGTACCCTGAACCGCCAGTGGTGGCCTTGATAGGCAAAACGCAGAAACTGCCTGCGTGTTATGTGTTATACGTGAAATAGGGACATGAAAGTAGGCGTCCTTCAAGTCTATGACGTAAACCTTTCCCTCTGGGCGACAGTTCACAGAACATCTGTCGCCGTGGTTATCATATGGAATTGCAACATTTTCATGTATGCATTTCATCCCCTCAAGTCCAAAACTGGACGGAATCCACTTGTCTTTTGTCACAAGGTAGTATGTTGGAAAGAAACCTCTGGGGTGCGACAGAGGATCTACCGCATTGATTGTGTCCTTGACCAGGAGGGCAGATAACTCCTTGTCCAGCACTAGGGCTTTTGTTGGGTCGCTGATGATGGTCTTTTTGACACGGCCTGAGGTGGGGGGCTGCCATTGGAACTGGGTTCATGTAAAAGCCCAGAGGTCTGAAGCATGAGCAGCCTAATGTCTGAACTGCTGGTTGGAATAGTAACTGACAGCCGGCCCCAAGGCCTCAGAGTCTGGCCCCCTGCCCCCTAGAAGCCCTGGAGGGACAGGACACTCAGTACGGACACCACAGCTGGCTATACTTATAAGTACCTTTAGCGGCATACCAGCATCGCTTTCTTTTTTAAAAGACTTAAAAAATAACCAAAATACAATCCAGTACCAGGAGCGGGAAGCACAAATACTGCCTTCACCGTCAAGGGTTGCAAACACCTGTAACTTTACGTTGACTAGTTAGTTTTGTCAAAACACAGCCGCTAACTTGATACAAAGTAACATTAACTAATGCAAGGAGAATTAAATCAAATGAGTCACGTACCTATGGTCCTGAGAGGGGAGTGAAATGCTACCATACTGGTGTCAAGTACATAAACCGTTCCCTAAAGAGGGAGGGACGGCTGTAGCAGCCCTTGGAGGGCGAAACTTTGCTGCTCCGACCGACACGGTCATAGGGCTTCTAGTGACAGTACCTTTTTGTTAAGAAAGCTTTGTTAAAGCTATCTTATTGTCCCCTTTGGGGTAGAAATATATCAAATGCTTACCACAACAAATATTTGTAAGTTACAGACAAAATTGGTAAATCAATTTTTTGTTTGAGGTCAGCTCAATAAACTCTTAAAGTTCAGTGAAGAATAAATAAAATATTATACATGTCCAAAGAAGCAAGTAATGTTTCTACCAGAAAAAAAACTATGGTCTATATGACTCAAATTATTATCAAAGGAACACACTTGCAAATTGTGTTTTTATAGCCTTTGTGTTAGGAAACAAACATAAAGAGAAGTGCTGCTTGTCAACAGGCAAGGCAGGCAACTGCTTGGGGCCCCAGAGGGCTGACAAACTTTGAACCACGGCAGTGGCTCAATATGTGCAAATTTTGCAATGACAGTAGGAAACCTTTCTAATGGAGCCCCATCTGACAGCACTCACTTTTGTTGCCCTGTCTGCTGGTTCGAGCCCCCCCCCATACATTTTTGCATAGGGCTCCAACAGACTATAATCGCCACAGACTACATATTGGACCATTGGCATGATGATTTAGTGTGTTCAACATTTTGGGAAGGGGAACAAATGCAGGATGGACATAAATTATAGCCTTTAGTATAAATTCCAGTACAGCAGTATCCCTTCAACTAAATGCAGGGACTTGCTGCGTCTCTCATGCCCTGTCTTGCTCATTTAAGTTGTCTCAATTTCGTACCTACCCTATTTAAATTATGTTTGCAATCTGTTTCTTGATGACCCTGATGAAGGCTATAAGACGAAACGGGTCAGTCTAATTTGATAATACTTCCAAGTATTGCTGGAGCTTGAAAATAGTATAGAGCCAAAACACTCCTAACTAATGCACTGAAAATTATCAACTAAACCACTGCTGCCAAGCAGCTGACTCGAAACTAAATAGTCCGGGAGACCCAGAAACAATTCACAAAAGTAAAGGCTGCCAGGGAGGCCTTAAAACTCAACACAAAAGGCTGGGGTATATCAACTACCCAGCACCCCAAGTTATTTTGGCAATAGACACAAATACACAGGAAGTAATTTGTTTGTGTTAATGAACACACAGATAACACAGGGAGAACCTCTCACTACCTCTGAAAGTGAGATAATGAGTCAGCACAGAGTGCTGAATTCCAGGAGTATATATAAGCGCCCCACACCTGGTTTTAATCAAGGCCAATCAGCCACAAACACACCTGACTCTGCACTTAGGTGATTCATTCACCAACCCCAGTGAGAAGCCAGAGAGTGTGTCCTTACACATATGCTCTGCTGTAAATGAGGAAAGATGTTCATCGCTCTCTTCGTTTTCATGCCTGCCTATTATTCTAGCGACAAAGACATAAATTTAAACTGATGAAAAGTCAAATAGTTTTTTCTGTATTTTATTAACAGGATTTGATGTGGAAATGTCATTCGTATTAAACAAGACATTCACAGCAGAACTGAATAATGCAACAAGTTTTGCATACAAGGATCTTGAATCAAGAATTAATTCAGTGGTAAGTGTTTTGTTAAGATTACATCCATCTCTAGGATTTAACTTTCATTTCAGCACTTTGTGTTCTCATGTTGATATTTCTGTATTTCACATTCCCCTCTCTCAGTTACAAGAGCAGTATAAAGGAATCACAGGGTTTGTCAGTGTTTTTGTGAGGGCATTCAGGTATGGTCATTCTGACGTTAGCAACAGTAACAGTCATATCTTTTATATTTCACATCACATCTTTGGCTTTTGTGCTTACAGTAAAGGCAGCATAATCACCAGTTTTGTTGTGAAGACGACACAAGTTATTCTGAATGAAATTGCTGAGGCAAATGACAAACTCCCAGAAGCAATGCAGATTATAGCCCCAACCATTGGCCCAGTAGTTGCATTTTACAACAGTAAGTAAAAAAAAAAAAAATCATTACTTAAGTTTTTAACAAGTTGTTTACCTATTGATCTCTTACTTTTCCCAACTTTTTCCCAAAAGGTCCAACTCCTATTAGCCCTCCGGAACTCACTTATACTGGAAACTCCATGACACTTACTTGTGGCCCCCCTCCTACGAACATAAATGTTGGACACATTTCTGTTGCCAACTGGAAATTTAATGGACGAGAAATTAAAAACAGTGGAAGGATTAAAATAACTACTTTAAGCACAATGTCTTTGCTTACAGTTAACAGTGTCATCCTTCTTGATATTGGTAAGGCAACGTTTTCTAAAGCTGTTAATTTATAAGAAAACAGCTACCAAGAAATCCCAGTAACTGTCAATTTTTATTTCATTAGTAACTAGAGGTGGGGGAAAAATCAATACAGCATAGTATAGCAATATTTTCCGTTGTGATATTATATCGAATCATGACCGCAAAGTAATTTTTAATTGCTGAAGTCGCAATGTTGAAAATTACTGCAATTGTACAGTCGTCCATATATGTTTGTGTCCAGTTCAGTTTGATTAGACTGAAATACCAACAGTTCAGATTGTGAGGTGCAAGCACAAGGGTTTTACTTTTATCACAGTGTCGGTAAGTCTGTGGGCTTGACTCCCATTGTGTAGAAATAATATGCACTTTAAAAAGTTAAATAGCAATATATTGTATCGCAATTCTCAGCACATCGCAAAAAGTTTAAAATCGCTATAATATTGTTACATAACTCAAGTATCATTATAATATCGTGTTGTGGGGCCTCTGGTGTTTCCCACCCTGTACACACTATAAAGCTACTTTAGAAAGCACAGTGAGATGACATCAGATCAAACATTAAAGTCAGCTTTTTTTTTTACAAAACTTGTTGTTGCAACTATCCACTTTTCTGTTATTTGCAAATTTATTTTTGCTTCCTCAATCACAGGACTTTATGAATGTACTCTAAGAGGTGAAGAAGTGGATTTCCATCAAAAAGGACTTCTAACAGGAGATGACATCAAACCAGCTCCCGTTTTGAGACTACGGAGTAAAGTTAATATTAAATGCAAGGATGGACTAATCCAAAGTCTTAGGTGTTGTGTGCAGTCCTCCTTTACAATCAAGTGGTTTCATGCCACAACAGTTTTATCTTCAGGTACCAAGTAGTGAAGTGATGATGAAAACTCTTCAATCTGACAATGCTGGCAGCTACTACCAATATTTCTCATTCTGTTTTTGTGTCAGATATGTACACAGATTCCAATGTCAACTGGGAGACTTACTGCATTGTGCATCATTACAAGCTAGGACGCTGCAGTGAAACACAGCTAAAAGAAATCCAATTCATGTGTAAGGTAGTTAAACCAGAGGGTTATCAACTGACAACTACGATGACAATTTTCAGAGAAGGTAAGAGTATTATTAAGAATGTTTATACTCTGTTTATAAGCTATTGTTACTATATTTTGGTTTAATACATATTAAAAATTAACTCTTTAAGATGTCAAATGTGACAATGCTCAGTATGGGACTGGCCGAGGCGGGGACATATCAACAATAGAGTGTGGTCCGGGACAAGAGGGAAGAAAGTCTGCTGTCTGTCAAGAAACAGGAGAGTGGCAACTAAATGAGGACTCTTGCATAATTCCACCCATCAAGGAGTTGTTAATTGTTTCACAGGTAGGTGATCTACTGGGATAACAACCTTTCCCAGAGCAACTCTCTGAAACAGGCAGCCAAACTTTTCAGGGGCTGGTTCTATGCATGGATGAGATGAACATAATAGTTCTCAGCACTAAGAGCGGGATGCACATTCAATTTGATGGTCATAGCTTTAGCCTCTGATGCGGGAATGACGTTGCTCAAAGGAGCAATGAAAACAGAAAATAAGTGAACAAATGACACATAGATTAGTTATAATTATAAGTTATATAATTATTATAGGCAATATCCAATGCAAAATCAATCGTAGGGAGGGGGCAGGGAACTGTACAAAAAAGTAGTGAGTGTAAATGGCAGAAAAAGTTTGGGAAACACTGCCTTGACCAATGAGCAAGCAGACTTGTTTTGAAATCGTGAGGACAATAAGTAATATACTGTGTATAAAGTGCAGTGTCAACATGATGGTATTTCAAGGTTATTGCAAAGTTTGTTTCAGTATTGCACGTTGTGTTAAATTATACTCCTGGGCCACATTTCTTTATGGAAATATCACACACAAGTTCAAATGCAAACATCAAATCTAACTATTACCATATGTGTGGTTTAAATATTAATCTCAAGTTCCAGTCTTTTTTCCAAGTTCTCATTAGCTTATCTTTATTCATTTTTACAATTCATTACACATATGTCAAAACCCTTATATTTTAAACCTCAAAACATAACATTTTACAGGGTGGTCAAACAAAAAGAGTAAATATAAAGCAAAACTTTAATTATATTTTTATGTGTAACTACTTTATTTCTTAAAGCTATTTAACAGAAGTCTGTGCAACAGTGAAAAGCTTTAATAAATAATGTACATATTGTTTTCCATATCACCTCTTTAAGGAAGCACATCGCATTCACCAAAGAAAAATAATTGGACACATTATTTCCTAATCACGAGATCAGGATCTCGTGATTAGGAAATGCTGATCTCGTAATTAAGAGATCAGCATAAGCTGATGTTTCAGAACGATGGACAGCACTACTACACTGGACAGTGTGTCGGTTTCTTAGCGTGCGTGCTTCTCGTTGTTGTTAAAGTGTATAGTTTTTAATAAACAGAGCAGTGAAGGTGACGAGTGGATGTGTAGACCATAAGCGCAGTGAACGCATGTTGAAGCAGTTTGGACGGCATCAGTCTGCATCTACAATTTGTTCTAACTTGAGTTATGTCCCTCCATATCTGTGCTTAACTGTACCGGACCCAACTCGTCTCTCCCTCTCAAGCTCACTTCACCGTTACACCAGATGCTTCAGAAGGAGCAGACCAGGCCAGCCGCGTCACTTTAAAGAGCCTTTCTCCCTCATTCTGTCAAATAAATACATTTGTAGAACACGGTGATGTATTGTTTATTAAATAAACCTTATGGAGAGGAGTTTTTATTTAAAATACTCTTTAATTCTAGACAACAAGTTAACAGAGAAGCTGGGCGGTGCTTCATAGCCGAATTGTGCCTGACTAGGTGCTGCAGCACCATCAGCGTATAGGGTACTGATCTCTATAATCTTATGAGATCAGGATCTCGTTATTGCCGTTATACTGCTGCTTCGGGTTACTTCCACTTCGTTCTCTTTTCGTCACATCACGTTTTACTTCAGGAGAAACCTCCTCCTCTTGTCTGATTGGGATCTCGTGTGAACAGCCAGGTCACGAGAATATTCAGAGCAGTCCTCCTAAACTAATCTAGATATTTTCAGGAGTGCACATGTGAAAACGTTGATAATGTATAATTCTTTTAACATGGCCTGTGCACTATTGTTGTCTGTAACAGTATTTAGTAGTTCAAGAGAAGCATTTGAGAATGTATACAGAATAGTTTGATATCCCATACTAATAAATAAGTCATAAGATGTGATTGTGTTGTTAATTAAATTTTTTTCAAGGATTTGGGTCTGGAGGAAGTGCCACAATTCCTGGCAAATCTAAGTGATGCCGTCCAGGGAGCCAAAACAGAAACTGCAAATTCCTCCGCAACCATAGCAGCTATTATTAAAATCATAAGCATCATTGCAAATGTTAGCATTGCTGTCAGTGAATCTGGGATGAAGGTAGGTTTAACCTTCCCATTAGAAGCCTATTTGTAAAGAATATGTGTTGTTGTATCAAATTCTCACAAAGTTTTAACCTCACAATAAAATGTCTCTATCTTCAGAAAATTCTCGAAACAGTTGATGTCATCATCAGTGATGATTCAAGAGAATCCTGGGCATTTTTGAACGCAAATCAAACTGGTAATGCGAGCTCAGAGTTATTGGGTTCTCTCGAGACTCTCTCAAATGGATTGGTAGGGGAGTTTGACATTGTGACTGAACAGATTCTACTCAACAGAACCACATTTAACAACTCGTTCGGGGCAGATCTTAATTCATGGATTCTCTTAGAAATTCCACACACCGGCATTAGCAATGTCTTAATCACCACAATCACCTTCCCCACCCTCAATAATGTTATTCCAGCACGGAACTCCAGCTTTGAGGCCACCCGCTTCAATGCCACCAACAATGACTCTGTCGTTGCTCATGCTATCAATGCTGCAGTAGTACTAGTTAAAATAAATGAAACCATTCAGAATTTCAGTCTGAGCTTTGACAAGCGGAACAAATCCCTATCTCTGAACCCACAGTGCGTCTTCTGGAACTTCACACTCTTTCACAATTTCGGCGCTTGGGATGATGATGGGTGCACATTTGTTTCTGACATAAACAACACGGTTACCTGCAGCTGCAACCATCTCACTTCCTTCTCTATTCTGATGGCAACAGATATCCCTCCGGAACTTACAGAAGCTTTGGATATAATCACTTACGTTGGAGTTGGGATATCTCTTGCAAGCTTGGGAATATGTCTCATTATTGAAGGATACGTTTGGAAAGCCATTACCAGAAATAACACCTCTTTCATGCGTCATGTTTCCATTATTAATACCGCCATCTCTTTGATGATTGCTGACATCTGTTTCCTTGTTGGTGCCTCTTTTGCTAACAGCACCCTGGAAAATCCCGGGAAGGACTATGAAGTTCCATTTGGACCATGCAGCACAGTAACATTTTTTACACACTTTTTCTACCTGGCTTTGTTCTTTTGGATGCTTGTGTCAGGCCTTCTGCTCTTTTACCGAACAGTCATGGTCTTCTCCCACATGTCCAAGTCAACCATGTTGGCCATAAGCTTCAGTTTAGGCTACGGATGCCCTCTAATTATTGCTGTTACTACAGTTGCTGTCACAGGACCAGGACATGGATACATCAGAAGATACAACGCTTGTTGGCTCAACTGGATGGAGACAAAGGCCATCCTGGCTTTAGTGGTACCTGCCTTGACAATAGTTTTCATCAACATTTTAGTTGTTATTGTGGTATTGTTCAAAATGCTGAGAAGAGGCGTGGGAGACACAGCACAAACAGAAGAAAAGCATACACTGATGATCATTGCAAGGTGCATAGTCATTTTGACTCCATTGTTTGGTCTCACATGGTCTTTGGGAGTTGGAACAGTGGTATTCTCAACAAATAAAGGAATCCAAATTGCCTTTGCATTCTTCAATTCACTACAGGTATGTGCATCTGTTTAAATGCAAGTTGTAATTTGGTGCTTACATGCAGTATTTTTGTGTAATAAAACATTTTATAATAAAATAAATATAATTCTTTCCTCAGGGTTTCTTCATTTTGGTGTTTGGGACACTCTTTGATTCAAAGGTATGTTAACTTTAAGGAGTCATTATACATTTTGGGAATGTATTTTAATGCTGATTTGCTTGAAAAAGGCAGATGAAAAAAAAGAAGATTGATTCAGTTTTTTGCAATATTGTAGTTTATTGTATAAAGTATATTGTAGGCAATATTGTAGTTTAATCATTTTCTATTTGACATGTGCAAAAATGTGTGTGTACCTGTAGATCCGTTCTATCCTCCTAAAATTATGGACATCACCCACAGGATCTGATCAGACAAGAGTAGGTTTTTTTTTTTTTGTTATTCACACGAGTATGTTTACTGTGTCCAAAGTTAGTCAAGTTTATTGTTTCATTCATTAGAATGTCTTTGTTCATTACTACACTGCTCAAAAATGTAAGGGAAGACTCAAATTGCACATCAGATCTCTATGAATAGCCTCAAACTAGTTTTTCTTTCCACAGAGGTGTTTGCATTTATATTAATTGGTAAAATCATCATGTACAATTGTTCTGATATTTTTAAATGTATAGTATAATTCTACATATAATATCTGACATAAATATTTAATTTACAAATAGACAATCAATCTTAAAGCTAAACACCCAGACCCTATAAACACATGTAGTCCCTCCTTAATGTGCAAATAAATGTTTTGCACTGTCTTGCTCAGTCTACAAGCTAAAGTGCAAATATGCCTAGATAACGTTCCCACATCCTTTGAACCAGTACCTCTTTGTTACAAACCTGTTACCAGGAGTGACAAAGACACTAGCACAATGATAACTATAATATTACACTAGTAAATCATATAGTTAAATAATCTGAATGAATGTAATTCTAAAATAATTATCATTATTATCAATATAATTATGATCTACACAATTTATATCACTGTTATTAATACCAAGCCCAACACACTACACTGGAACACAACTGTTATTGTCCATTACCCCCTCCATCCTCTCATTTGTTCATCTTTAAAAGCGAAAGATAAAGGAGGATGAAAAATGACTTAATGATAATAATAATAATAATAATAATAAATACAAATACATAAAAAAAAATGTTTTAAAAGAATTGATTAATCAGATGATACCGCCGTGTACCAATACCAACAGATCCCCTCCCATCAGGTCTGGGGATTGTTCGAGCTTGATGAGAGGTTGGCAGTAGGCGACCCTATCACCTGGCCCCCTATGCAGGGTCTGGGGGCAGCTGAGACAGGGGCACCCCTACATCACACAATGAAAATGACTGCAAGAATAAAAATTATTATAATATACATATATATAGATATATATATACATAGGAAAAAAAATCCAAAACGTCTTTTTGCTGTCCCCAACAACTAAAGATACAAGCACACACTTGAATTATACACACTCAGGCACACACACACACACACACACACAAACAGGACCCTTCAACACCCTCAACATAAATACAAGTTGAAAAAATGTTATAAAGGGATTTTCTGCTTGTCTTTGTTTTGCCTTTGTTTATGCCGTGCAGTATTGTATTGTTCTGCATCACTTAAAAGAAAATAAATAAAAAACAGACACTAGCACGTTAAAAAACTTCAGAATTATCTGTTAGTGAATATAAGGAAAGGAGAGAGTCTGTGTCCATCACATGCAAACCATTCCCATTATGGGTGTTGTCTTGCTTTTGCCTCTCCATTGCACCTGTTTTCACTTTCATTTGCACCCAAGCAGGTTAAATTGATTCATAATCACTTGTGCTTCCTAGATGGATGGATTGAAATCCCTGAAGTTTAACTGATTTGGTGTTCCAGATGATAATGTGACTAAACCCAGCCCAGGTTGAAAACTACAGACCGGTTTATCTTCTGCCCTTTCTGTCAAAAATACTTGAGCACACAGTCTTTAAGCAAGTTTCTGAGTTCCTGTCCAGGAACAATCTGTTTGACCCAAATCAGTCAGGCTTTAAGCGGGGCCACTCTACTGAAACTGCACTACTGCCAGTAACAGAATCACTACGAGCTGCCAGAGCTGCGGGTCAGTCCTCAGTTCTGTTACTGCTAGACCTGTCTGCTGCCTTTGACACAGTCAACCATCAAATCCTCCTATCCATGCTCTCTGAACTTGGCATTTCAGGATCTGCCCTCTGCTGGTTCGTGTCCTACCTCTCTGGGCGATCCTTTAGAGTGTCGTGGAAGGGAGAAGTGTCCAAAGCGCACAGCTTATCCACAGGGTCAAGGATCAGTGCTTGGTCCCCTTCTCTTCTCCATATACACAAGCTCACTTGGTTCAATAATCCGCTCTCATGGCTTCTCATACCACTGCTATGCTGACGATACCCAGCTCTTCCTGTCATTCCCGCCAGACGACGTTACAGTCTCTGCAAGAATCTCATCATGCCTTGCTGATATCTCTAAATGGATGAATGAACGGCACCTTCAACTCAATCTTTCAAAGACTGAGCTCCTTGTCATCCCAGCCAGTCCCTCTATGCAACCACAGATCAATATCCAGCTTGGAACAACCAAACTCATGCCCACAAAGTCTGCCCGGAACCTGGGTGTCATGATTGATGACCAGCTAACTTTTAAGGTTCAAGTAGCTTCGATTGCCCGGTCATGTCGATTTGCCCTGTACAACATCAGGAAGATCAGACCTTACCTGTCAGAACACGTTACACAGCTCCTGGTACAGGCTCTTGTGATATCACACATCAATTATTGCAACTCTCTACTGGCAGGTCTTCCTAAATGTACTATCAAACCTCTGCAAATGATACAAAATGCAACAGCATGACTGGTCTTCAACCTTCCTAAAAGAGCACATGTTACTCCGCTGTTCATCTCCTTACACTGGCTCCCAGTTACCGCTTGCATCAAATTGAAAACTCTTACAAAACAGCGACAAAAACGGCTCCTCCTTACTTTAACTCTCTCATCCAGGTCTACACTCCCTCCCGCCCACTATGCTCTGCCAATGAAAGGCGTCTGATACCTTCACAACAGGGTCTTAAGTCCCTGACTAGACTCTTCTCCTCGGTTGCCTCCCGGTGGTGGAATGAACTTCCAAACTCCATTCGATCTGCAGAGTCTCTCTGCACCTTTAAGAAAAAGCTAAAGACCCAGCTCTTTCATGAATACCTACTAACTTAATGATGATGGTTTCGATATCATAGATGATGATGATGGTTGTGACGATTGGTTTTGTTTGATAATGATGACTTATAAGATGGTTTCTATACTGACTAGAGCTCTCAAGAACTGCCGTCAGTGTTGTGCTTTGCCTCTGTGCAATGCCTGTCAGCACCTGTGTGTCCAATCGGACTCAAAGTTGATCGTTTGCTCTTACTGACATTGTTCCCTTTTTTCTAGATCCTTGCTTGTGTTGTACTTACTCTCTGATGTATGTCGCTTTGGATAAAAGCGTTTGCTAAGTGAATTGTAGAATTGTAGAATTTTAGATTAAGTTTTATTGCACTAAGTCTCAATGAAAATGTAAAAAAAATGTCTGTATTAACTGAATTTAATATGTATAATTTGTTCCTACCAAAGAGCACAGGCATTTTTTATCTGAGTGGACTAAACTGGATAAATCAATTACATGGAAGAAGAAGAAGTAAGTTATAGAGGCACTTTTACATTTTCTTTGAAACTACTGTGCATTCAACAATTTGTTGTTTCTCTTACAGATATTTACAGGGTATCAGAAGCAATAAACTCAAGCAGCGGTGGTTCAACAGAGAGATTCATCAAATTTTGACAACAAAAACACAGGATCAGAGTGGATTTTTAATAAGAAACTTCACAGACATGTTTTTAAGGAGACTTATTTATACTTGTTGAAAAAGAGTATTATATGTGACCTTTAAGTTTCTGTCTCTGCCAATTATATCTACTTTAACTTCTAACATTAAAGTATAATTAGATGTTGTATTTCTGAGTACATTTTTATAGAATGGCAACATATAAATCCTCTTGCCTATAGTCTAAGTTGAACAAAGGAAAGTAAGAGGGTTCTGGTCTGTGTACTGTAGCGCGGTCACACTGGCAATCTGTACGGCGCTGTTCTGAAGCACGATTGCCCCCCCCCCCTCCCCATTCCCCCGCTGGCTTTCACAGCCTGCGGTCACACTGCTTCAAGACAAACCTTGCCTAAGCATGATTACCTCTTGTACATAACTTCGTAACAGCATATGCATGCTTTATGTTATTATGAAGCGTGTTTACAAACAGATGGACTCGATAATTTTTTTTAAAAAGGGATGCGCAATGGAGTCCATGTCTGCACATCGGAGAACAACACAAAGTACATGACCGCTACTTTACTGACTTTGAGGCTTATTTTCAGTAATTTTAATCAGACACAGCCGTGAATAAATTAAAAAATAAAATAGACCCGCGGCCGAGTCTGTGGGCGCACATTGAAGAAAATGACAACTACTTTGTGTCTTTACTTTGAGTCATTTTACTCATATACAGACAGAAAAATCCGGATTTCTCCATAATAAAGGCTGTGTTTGTGCTCGTGCATGAAGTGTACCGTGCTGAAGCACACCTCTTCAAAGCGTGCCATGGCCAAGGAAGTGAACCGTTCCTGAGCATGGCACGGAGAGGTCACACTGGTCAGATGAACTGGACTTCAGGGTTGAAGGGTGCTTAGGCACGGTACAGATTGCCAGTGACCCCGCCCTAAACCACGAAGGGACTGACACCAGACCCAACATAAAACCTCAAAGTGCTTGAAAACCAAACTAAGTCTAACACTCCCTTCTCAATAGTCGAAGAATTAAGTTGGTGTCAGTTGAACTTTTCTTAGTGGGCACGTGATACTGCATAATAGCTTTGACCTTTGTGTGGTCAATGAGATTTGTCTGAGTTGGTATATCACCAAAAAGCATTGGGAACTTCATGATGAGCTCTATCAGCTCAGTTCTCTATAACACAGGCAAATGACTTGATAAACTGTCTAACTGACACAATGACTCTTTCTTAACCTACCACAAATAAAAGGATCACTTAACACCTATCTCACTGTCCAATCCCACCTCTGGGAAATATGAAAGAACTGATTCAACCATTAATGTGGGGCCAAAATCCTCCAACTTTGTCATTAGCGACATGACAGTCATGTTCATAGTACAGCTTCAACAGATTTACACGACATAATTGAGATGACTTTGTATGACTTGGGGTTGAAATCAAGTAGTTCTGATTTGAAACTTTCTCAGTGTATGGGCCAGCAAACTTTGCCTGAAATAGTGAGACCTGCAGTGGCAACAGAGCTAGCACTTGTTCCCCAGGGCTAAACGGACACTGCTCTGTTCTGCAGTCATGCACGTTTTTCTTAGAAGCTTGAGCACCTTCCACACATCTTCTCACTACCTCGACAGCTGCATACAGACGACAATGAAACCTTTAACATAGTCCACTAATATTTTGGGTGACTCAGCACCTGAGGAAGAGCCAAGTCGGGCTCGGAACGTTGTGTTCGTCTAAATGCACATAGCAATTAAATAAGTATTTGGGAGCCTCAGTGTTGCGAGTCTTTGTCAGTATTTTTTTCGACTCAGCACCTAATCTAGTGATGTGCGTGTTTTTTTTTTCGACTCACTCTCAATCAAGACATCCTGCAAAACTGCTAGAGGACCACACACGGAATGAGCAAAGACCAAATCATTGGGGCTAAAACCTGTACTTCCCTGAACCATATGCACCCAACATGGACTTCAATGTGTTATGAAACCCCTTGAGCGGCCCCTGGCTTTGGGCATGGCAAGTAGCTGCATGATTGTGCTTAACCCCCAGCTGCTTCAGGATCTGCTTTTAACTTATGGGAAGTAAAGTTAGAAACCTCTACACTCTGGATCACATGCGGAATACCAAAAGTGGAAATAAATTACCACTGTGTCTCCGACAAAATCAGCCTGATTCTATTATTTCCTATTTGAGTCACCTAACTTCTCCCAAGCGTCACAGCGCGCCGTTTTTACCCTGACGCCCCGTTTCTATTTTCCCCTCTGTCGCTCATTTCAAAGGACAGGCACTGAGGAAGGAGGGGGCTCTATATGCACTGACACTCGCTTTTCTCACTCAACAGAGCTTGGTAGCTCATCTTACAAAGGGGAAGATAACGGTGCATTGATAATGTCCACATCAGTGATTGAAATGTTGTGCTCTGACTTTTGTCAACACCGGAAAATAAACGTTTTTTCGGCTCACAGCGAGCAGTTTACCGACGAGCCTCTGTGTTGTGATTTCAGTCAGCTACTCGTTAATACAAAGCACCGCACATCCATTGTCTATGTCCACCTTCAGTACAAAAGCACTAGATGTTATTCTCTTTTCAAGGGGGGATACTGAAATTTACAGAGCATTGAATTCAATATTTAACGGATGCAGTGTAAACAGCGAGCGTGAGATCATGCGCGACGCAACATATAATGCTCACGTGCTGTTAGGACATGGTGTAAGATAGGGTCCTAACTGTGGTGGAATTTCTGTAGTTATTTAGATTATAATGTACAGATGTAATTAGGTTTATTCACTGTTCTCTAATGTCAGTCAGACCTAACAGAGTTCAGTTGTTATTAGAACACCAAGTACAGCTTAGAGAGTGTCAACTGTTCTTCCTGATATCTGCAAGGATGTTTGGTAGACTTATTGTCTGCTCCAGTGTTATAGACGTCACAGTTTAGTCTAAGTGGGTCAATGTGACACGACCCTGATAATGGTAATGTCTTTTAGGATATATGCGATGCCTTTCGAGAAGTTCGGCAGATGTGATTGAGCAAGACACGAGTACAGTAGTGTGATGTTGAATCATGTCTCCTCCGGAGTATTTATCTGATGTATAAACTTTCATCAACGTAAGCCATCTGAGTCAACTGAGTCTTATTGTATGGAGTCAAGTCTTAGTCATTTCGTCAACAATTTGGCATCACGAAACAGGATATCTACAAACAAAGACTGGTAAGTGCAAATAATTTGTATTCTTTGCTACTGCCATGTCTGAGTTTGATGATATCTAAAGAAACTGTAATTCGGATGAAATTATTGTAAGTTTGACAGCATGAATAATATTTATATATAATAGAAATTGAATAAATTATCAATGATTGAGAATCACTGATTGCTTGTATTTGCAAATTGGTGAGAGTTGGGCTGTCGAGCATCCTGCGGGGGTGTTTCGGAGGTCTAAGCCAGCTGTTCTTTTTGAGCTGTGACTCGACACAGATAAGATCAAACTTTGAACTTATATCCTAGGGGAGACGTTCCGGGGTGGATTACTAAGAATTCATTTCGATATAGGTAAGACCAGTAGGTGAATCTGTTGTCCGGCGGGACGTAGGACTCTGTAGTCATAGGGACGTCAGAGCCATAACAGTTGTGTGCACAGTGAAGTGATTACCTGTGGTAGTTGTTCAATATTAACAGACCCAACACATTTTTTTTTAAATAAAAAACGTATACATTGTTCTGAATATGCAAAGCTGAAATAAATGATAAAAGGTTGCTTAAGTGGACTCAGAGGCAGTTGAAATGTTTATGCAATGTTCTAAATGTTTCATTGTATGTGCCTGTTGCTTCTGTTTTGTTTAATGCTATAATTGCTTTATGCACGATGGGACATCATCAGTCCCCAACAGTGAATAAAACTGAATCTCAAAAAAAAAGTAAAAAAGTAAAAATAAACAAAAACACATAGAACATCCACACACACACAATGCTGCTACAGATAAAAGCACAACACCCTTAGGTGGAACACTCTCCACCATACAGACAAGAGATAATTTTATCACACATGAAACATATAATTTTAGTCAGATATACCCTGCTGATATGCCGGCAGGAGTTGTAGGAGGAGAGAAAGGTTGGAAGTATGTGTCACCATACCATACTTGTCACATAATTTTTTTCCAAACCTAAACTCTGCTGTGATCATTAGTTATTATCACCCTACATTGTGTTCAAGTGCTCATGTTTCTGTGAAGTTTGTTTTAAATAAGTTATTTGAGGTTGAAAAATGGGATTTTACGTCATATTTGACTATGATTGACAGCCGCCGATCTTGCGTAGCTCTCTTTGTGAATAGCAAAAGTTACGTAGTGAAGGAAAGCCGAGACGCCATTGAATGTTTCCGTTCAGTTTTTTCATCTTTTTTGAGCTGGCAAAATGAGTTGTTCTGCAGTAAACTGTTCTAACCGACCTGTGGGAGCTAAGGGATCTTTGCAGCTTTTTCGGTAAGTAAAAGAGTGATTTATGTGTCATTGGTTAAGGTCGTTATCTAGCTAGCTAACACATAAGCAGTCTAAGTTAGCTGAAATGTTGTAAAGCTAGCTATTAAATGAGCAAACCTAATAACTGACATGCTATGTTTCTTGATATTGTTATGTCGTTATTGTGATTGAAATTGTATTTAAAACCAAGAATCGTTATAAAAATCTGCTCATAGATGCGGTTCATTGACTGTACAGTTATTTTACAGCAAAAAGAAATAGTCTGGTAAGGTCTGAAAAAAGTATGTAGGGCAAAAACAAAGTCACATAATTTAAATCTGGCCTGCATCATTACTAATGTGTACATGTTTACAGTCTGAGTGATAAGTGGACTATACCGAGAGTAACAGGTTTTACTTTCACCGTGCAGGCTGAAATTCATAGTACTATATACGAGGGTATATAGTACTAAACATTGCGGTGATTGTGACGGTGTCTGTATTTAACACCTTTGAAAGGACACACAACATGCTGCTGTTACGTTAGTTAGGAGGAGACATAGGCACAATAAAAGAAGACATAAAGATCACGTTTTCCCCCACACATGTTAATATGTTTTAAATGTCATGCATTTATTTTTGATTTCGCTTCAATAATCGTT